GAAACCCCATCTCTACTAAAAATACAATACAAAGTTAGCCGGGCATGGTGGCACATGCCTGTAATCCCAGCTACTTGGGAGGCTGAGGCAGGAGAATCGCTTGAACCTCGGAGGCGGAGGTTGCAGTGAGCCCAGGTCGCACCATTGCACTCCAGCCTGGGTAACAAGAGTGAAACTCCATCTCAAAAAATTAAAAAAAAAAAAAAAAAAGAATAATAATATTGGAGAAACTGGTACCCTCATATATTTAATAATGGGAATGTAAAATGGTGCAGCTGCTATGGGAAACTGTTTGGTTGTACCTCAAAAGTTAAACCTAGAATTAACATAAAACCAAGCAATTCTACTCCTGGGCCCACACCCAAGAGAACTGAAAATATATTCATACAACAAACTGTATATTAATGTTCATAGCAGCATTATGCAAAATAGCCAAGACATAGAAACAAACCCAAGTGTTCATCCAATGATGAATGGATAAACAAAATTTGGTATATCCATACAGTAGAATATTATTCATCCATAAACAGTTATCAAGTACTGAATGGAAGCACTACAACGTGAATGAACCCTGAAAACATGCTAAAGCCAAATACAAAAGGCCACGCATTGTAATATTTTATATAAAATGTCCAGAATAGACAAATCCATAGACAAAGAGTAGATCAGTGGTTGCCAGGGACTGGAGGTAGGGAGGAATGGGGAGTGACTGCTAACGATACAAGGGTCTTTGAGGATGATGAAAAGGTTCTAAAATCACTTGTGGTGTTGGCTGTACAATCTTGTAAATACGCTAAAAACCACGGAATCGTACATTTTAAAATGGTGAATATTATTATACATACATTATCCCAATAAGCCTGCTTTTTGTTTGTTTTTAGACAGAGTTTCGCTCTTGTTGCCCAGGCTGAAGTGCAGTGGCATGATCTAGGCTCATTGCAACCTCCACCTCCCGGATTCAAGCAATTCTCCTAACTCAGCCTCCTGAGTAGCTGGGATTACAGGCGCCCGCCACCACGTCCGCCTAATTTTTTGTATTTTTAGTAGAGTCGGGGATTTCATCACGTTGGACAGGATGGTCTGGAACTCCTGACCTCAGGTGATCCACCGACCTCAACCTCCCAAAGTGCAGGGATTACAGGAGTGAGTCACTGTGCCCGGCCAATAAATCTGTTTTTAAAAACATCTTATACATGGCTTCTGGTCACCTGTCTATTGAAATCATAAAATGACACTCTTGACTTCTGTCCTTTATTTCATTTCTGAGGGCTGGTGTCACCAACCTCTATGCTTTCCTAACCCATGCTTTGGTTAAAAGCTCCAGAAAGTCTTGCCTGCAAAACGGTCTTTTACCCAGCACTGGTTATACTTCAGAGAGTTGGCTCAAGTAGGGAGACAAATATGAGGGCTCTCAGACTGGGTAATACTCATCTCAAGAAGCTCCCCATACACACTGACTTGGTATTCACACTTAAAAATTATGTAGACAATTTTTTCAAGCATAAATTATATAATTTGCAAACTTTTATTCAAATGTTGATTATACGCACATATATATCCAGGTTGTTTTTTCCAACTAGACCATTAAATCTCCAGAAAAGGCCCAAGTCTAAAGTCTGCGCCCTAATATTGCCCCAGTGCCCTGCACACAGTGTCCCATGTGGTCCTTTGTTTCAAGGGCTGATGATACCCTGTAACAACATGAATGTGGGAATTATATTCCAGTTCCATCACTTACTTAGCTTTGTGACTTTAGGCAAGTTGCTTAAATTGTGTGCCTCAGTTCACTCATTCCTAAAATAGGGCTAGCAATACTTGCCTGTTGGTATTCAGCAAAAAAAAAAAAAAAAAAAGTAATGTTGGTGACACGCTGAATACAGCATCTAGGACACAGAGATATGAGGCAGTCTCTGTATACACTGTGTGGAGTCAAATCTTCTCCTTCCCATATATTTGCATTTTGACTGTTATTTGTTCTCTCAATCAGCAGCTTCCTCATCTGCAAAATTCTACGCCAAAAGATCGCTGAGAGGATTTTAAAAAAGAAGAAAAACAAAAAAGACTAGAACTCCTACCACACAGCAGGGTTTTGCTCAAACAAAAACAGAAACAAAAACGACCCTTTCTTTTCCATCTCCCCAGCTAAGGCGATTTCTTTAGCATCAACCTACAGCCTCCTAGTGCACCCAGCTGAAACGCCATCAATATCGCCGAACAGCTTCCAGACCTATCTGTGGACAAACAGTGATGCCTCCAAGAACGCCAACCGTAACCCCACATCAGGGAGCCATCTTCCAGTCAAGAAAATGAAAAGGTGTGCAAGAAAGACCTAAGGAATAAAATACCCCTCCCAGCAATCATCGATGACCCTTCCCACGTCGCTCGGGACCCAGCACAAAGACCGCAGTCAACACCGGCAAAGACTTTTCCTTTCTCACCCCACCCGTCCAGCTAGAGGGGACGTGGCGTGGGCAGCGATACAGGGGGAGGTCTGAGTGGTCGCAGGGCCCAAGACCTGGCGGCGGTGGGGGAGGGCGGAGCAGCCTCGGGGAAGCTCGGCACCCGGCGGAGCCGTTTAAGGGAGGGGTCCACCCTTACCTTCGCCCGCTTGCGCCGGCTGGTCCGACGCCCCTCCGGAGTCTCTGCTATTCCAGTTTCCATGGGGGTCGCAGACCCAGGCACGACGGTGGGCCCGGCCTGAGGCCCTGCGGACCCTGGCGGTTCGGCCAGGC